TTAATTATTCCACTATCTTCCCATCATACCCTCAATAATTCATACTCTTTCACTATTCTTAATCTACCTACTTTTGAAATGGGAATGTTTTAAAGTTACGGAGGGAGTGTCAAGAAATTTGAAGAACGTACTTTAACTAGTGTGTGTCTATACAAATAATAATATCAAAATAATAATAATTCAGTTTTTATTTGTTTTCATGTTTGACCGCTCGCTTAACATATATAGAAGGTGACAACTCCGGTACCCATTTATAAAATGGGGTACCGTACCTACCATGCATTTAATTGGTCCAAATCATTATATGTTTTTTAATTTAGATTTAAATAATTTAACTGCATCATTTTTATTGGTCCATTTGGACAAATGTACGGTACTTTTGGGGTACCATAGAATCTACCTATATAGAAACTTCGAATAACAATCAGGAAACTATTTAGCACGCATGTTGTTGATATGACGTAGCTTGTTTTTATTGGGGAGCACTTTCAAAACAGGAGTAATTATAATTATGGTTGCTTCTTTAAACCACATTACTATATACTACGTACTCTGTATATTTTTTCGAAGTTAGAGAAAAATATTGTTGCCCTGAAATTATTAATGCTCTCGCCCTATTTAAATGTTCACTGCTAGCTTTGGGCACAATATTTTAGGATAGAATAGTAAGGGTAATGAATAGTAGTATAGCAAAAGTATGATAGAATGTATAAAAGTATGAAAGCAAAAAGGGTAAACTTACCAAAAATGGAAGTGTATGAAACTTTTAAATACATCCCAAAAAAAAAGTGTAGGGAAATTTTAAATACGGAGGGAGTATTAGAAAATTATCGGACATTAGTATCACAATATTACTATAAAACACACCATTATCATTTCCGGATGGCAATAACTAAGTGTATTTAGAAATAAATACTCTGTATATAGTAATTTTGTTTAGGAACTATCTTAATTTTATTGCAATTAAAGGTAATCTTTTAATTTGTTGTGAGTGTGTTTTGTTATTTTATTAAAATGACATGCATAATGGTGATGGTGTTGTAAACTTCGTACAGGCACGTCAAGTAGTAAATGATGTTAATTTGTGGATGGGAAGGCAAACAAGCGGTCTTATAAAAAATGCCGTTTGTGAGAGTGATGTTAACCATGAAACTGTCCTCATTCTAGCAAATGCAGTTTATTTCAAAGCAGTTTGGGCTGAGGAGTTTGATGAAAGTTGCACGATAGATAGGGATTTCTACCTTATGAACGGAGCATCTGTCCAGGTACCCTTTATGAGTAGCAGTGAGGACCAATATGTGAAAGCATTCAATGACTTCAAAATCCTGAGATTGCCATATAGTCGAGGTGAGGATAATGGTCGACAATTTTCGATGTACATCATCTTGCCAAATGCAAAAGATGGTCTACTGCCTTTGATGGAAACCATTACCGAAAACTCCAAATTTCTGGAGCGCCACGTCCTGAACAAGCAAGTGAGAGTAGGTGAATTTTATATACCGAAATTCAAAGTAAGCTATAGCTTGAATGTTTTAAGTACTCTACAGGAGCTTGGGGTGGAGCTTTCAGGTGATGACCTAAGAGAAATGGTTGTCAACCCGCTAGAGAGACCCTTCGTACCATTGATCTCCCACAAGTGTGTTGTTGATGTTAACGAGAGAGGAACAGAAGCTGCTGCGTTTACTATGATGGATTATGATGACAAATGCTTTTATATGCCAATCGAAGAGAAAATAGACTTTGTGGCAGACCATCCCTTTGCCTTCTTCATTCAAGAAGATGTGTCAGGATCTATCATCTTTGCAGGGACAATGCTTAATCCTCTTCTATAAAAGGGTGGATAGTGAGTTTACCAGGCCACATGATTTGCATGCTCATTTTACGAACATTACTCACCTTGCTTTTTTTTTCTTCTTTTTATGGTGTTTATTAATGAAATGACATATTTATTTCCATGAAAAGCATATTGCATCACAAACGTTGTTGGTGTTGATAAGCAGCTATCACTTTTAAGCCTGATGATAAATTCAGGCCTTACACTTCGTATGAGAGTATAACGTATCTACTTGTAGTTAACAAATATTAATAAATATTGGGATTGCGTTATTTGGGAAGAGTCTATTGGCGAAAGTCAATCTCTTGAAATATGGAAATATATTATGTAAGTTTTGTTCAAATGAATATTCCCTATATATACATATACACTTTTTTTGTTTGGTTTCATTTTTTTTTCCCGAAATGAAACACCGCTTTGGTGCGGTAAATGTCAGGGACCATTTACCTGATATTATTAATTTTGTTTGGTTTGATTAGTTAATCCAATATATAAAGAATTGTTTTTTAAAGGATAAAGAATTGTTTTTTTAAAAATGGCTTTGAAAATTTTAATGCCTGTGTTTCAAAGGCATTGGGTCGGACTAGGCGTGAACAAAGAATATTTTGGAAAAAAAATTACAATATTGAAATATAAACATTTTTAAATTTTGGGTTGTGAATTGGAGATACATACTTGTAACACCGTCCCCAAGTATAATTACTTTTAAGTAAATTTTTATGTATTGAACCTTATGAAATGCTTAATGAATTTACGAGGTTCCAAATCTTTATTATTTCTTTTTGCGTGAATAGTAAATTGCACGTGGGGCCCACACCGTGAGTGGGGGCCACCCGATATTCCCGAGACCATGTATTTTAGTCATCTTGATATAGGCAATAGGTATATATATAGTGGGGGATATTTTATTTGGGCCAAGGAAAGGGCATTGAGTTGACTTGTGAGTGACGTCAATTGATCATACGGCGGTTGTACATGCCGAGTAGTGATGGACCCGGGCCGGGTCGGGCCTGGGCCGGGCCAAGGCTTGGTCGGCCCGCGGGTCAGGTAGAGGTAGGCTCGAGACCGGCCTGGGCTATGGCCGGTGCCGGTGCCGGTTCGGGCCGGGTCACCCGCCCGGGTCACGGGTCGGGCCACCCGCCTATCCGAGCCGGGTCATATTTTTTTTAATTATAGATTATACAAATTCTTATTAAAAACAAAGTTCAAGTGCATTTATTTGAAATAGGAACTACATTTGAGAATTGAGAAAAAAATAACAATATGAAATACATTTTCTAATAAATATCAATTGGGATTTCCGCCACCGTTGGTTGTTGTTTTGCCTTTGTCACAGGACTTCATATGTTTTATTGGCATCCGTGTGAACGCCCCAAGTAACACTCTTTCTTGCACCATTTGCCGGTCAACACTACCTTCCATAATAATATATATTTAATTGACTAAAATAAATAATAATAATAACAATAACAATAATAATAATAAATGATAAATATAACTAGCTTATAAAATCAGGGTGTAACAGGAGGTGGTTGGGTGATCAGAGGGGGTTGGGGGCTAAGGAAGGGGAGGGGATGGGGGGCTGGTGAGTCAAGTCGATGGTCAGTGATGATGGCCAGTGACGGTAGTTCGTGGTGATGGTCAACGGCGGTGCTAGGGCGGGGAGGCCGGGGACAAGGCTGAGGGACTGTAAGCAGCATGGGAGGGATGAAGAGACATCGTGTCACTATGACTGGAGTCGGCGTGTTACTTTGACCGGAGCGGAAGTGTCACTGTGGCAGTGTCACCGCAAGCGGTGTCACTATGGCCTGTGGGCGGGTGGTAGACAACATGGAATGAAGTCACTGTGTGGTGTTGTCACCGTGAAATTGTCATTGTGGTGGTGTCATTGTAAAATCGTTACTATAGCATCGTTACTGTAGCGCCCGTAATTGTATTCTTAATACTTTCAGTTAGATTTTTGGAAAATTGAATAAAAGGTCACTTTTTTGTCATCCACTTATTAGTAATAATGATGTAAAAACCCCTAATATACTTCTACCATCGGAATACTTATTGCTAAATGTTTGTTGTAAATTTTTCCAACAATTAAATGTTTGGGTACTACATATGTAGCATCGATACGGGTACACGGAAATGCGGAAACAAGTACGGGGATACTACGACAAAACAAAAAAATGTAGGATAGGGATATAGGGCCATATTTATAAATATTAAAATTTATGGGGTGTATTTATAAATATAAAAGTTATAGGGGTGTATTTATAAAATATTAAAAATACCATTTTTTTTAAACAATACACATATATTATCTTGTGACGTCTACCCATTTATGACATTAAAAAATTGTACATTTTCAAGATACTTAGAAATAAATTCATATTTTATCTCATATATAGTGGTGCATCTCGAAATATAAATATAGTCAACAAGTCATTAATTTAAAATGAAAAATAAGTCAAACAACTACAGTTTTGAAATTAAAAGTGCAAGTACTCAAAGTTCTAGAATAATGAAAATAGAAAACAATATATTATATTTTAAAAGTTCTATTCCGCAATACATATTTCCGTTGGAGCTATTAATTTCCAAGGATAATTAAAATTAGGGATAGGAGCTAGGATGGGTGAAGGTACGGTACGGGTATCCTAGAGTATCATATATAGGAACGATTCCGAGACGCCGATACGGCACCCTAATGAAGCATCCGTGCTTCATAGGGTACTACATATTTCACGGCCAGAGCGGTAATGAGATTCATAATTTTGTACATTTCGTAAATTTTGACTAGTTCAATTCGTTACTTTCTTGTCCGAGACTCCAAGCAGTCACTTTTTGGAATTAAGAAATTAATTAATTAAGTAATTAATTAATGTTTATAAAAAATCTAATACTCCTCCGTCCCATAAAACTTTGTCATCTTTCCTTTTTGGGACGTCCCAAAAAATATTGACATTTTCCTTTTTAACCAATTATTTTATGGTTTCTGTCGTTTCTCTCTTCTCTACACAAACCTAAATCAAACCGTTTTTACTTTATTATTCTCCGTTCTGGTCAACTTTGACAAAGTTTTAAGGGACAGACCGACGGAGGGGAGGTAGTAATTTATTGTATTGAAACCGGAGTAAAGTAGTATAGAAAAATCCCTTGCGTGCGTCGATCATAAGCTGTATGTGGCGTAGTTTTTAGGCCACAACGCGACATATATAGCGTGGTTTCATCTTCTGCCTAATTCATCTTCTACGCTTAATTAATTCCAATTACCAAAATCCGGCCATGGACGCCTCTAAATTCATCGCCAACCAGTCAGACGCTTCTCTAATGTTTGCAAAGCATGTCTTCTTTAAGCTGGTCAACGGAGACCGCAACCTCGCTCTGTCTCCCCTCTCCATTAACATCGCCTTGGGGATGGTCGCCGCCGGCTCTACCGACCACTTACGCCGCAGCCTTCTCGCTTTCCTCAGGGCTGATTCCGCCCGCGATTTCGACGCCTTTGCTTTCCATGTCGTCGCCAATATCCTCGCCGACGCCAGCCATGTCGGCGGCCCCAGCCTGTCGGCGGCTAACGGTGTTTGGATGGAACAAACGGTGCCTTTTAAGCCCTCCTATAAAGATATTTTGGAAAGGTTCTATAATGCTGTTGCTCAATCGGTTGACTTTCGTACCAAGGTTAGTTAATTCATTTGTGCTTTTTCATCATTTAGTTTTAGGGTTTTTGATAAAGAGTATAATATATGGGGTTTATTCGTTAAACCCTAAATGTCAAGCTACGTAAGAATTAGATTAGATGTGAAGTACATATAAATCAGTTACTTTAATTGCAATTGAAAATTTTAAGAATAAATTTTAGACCTAACAAACTAACAAAATACTTGTATGTCTCTTTTTCAAAGTGATTGTTTATTTGTTTTCCTAAACATTGGAAATTTTGAGTTTTCAAGATTAGTGGAACGACCCTAATGAGAGAATTGAATAGTCACATATAAACATATTTTTTGCCATAAGTAAATTAAAGGGCTGCGGGCAACTGTTTATCTATACACGTACAGAAAAGCAATTTAATTTGTTCCTTTTTTATAATCATGTTATTAGCATTCTCGCCACACGCGAAAGCATGAAATAACGACGTACCCAAATTTTAGTAATTACGGAGTATACGCTTGTGATTAGACCTTTTATACATGGTTATGATTATGCCTATATAAATTACATTCTTTGTACTTGTTAATTTGTAGAAAGATGAAGCAGTTGATGTTGTCAATTCATGGGTTGAGAAGAAAACCGGTGGTCTTATAAAAACTGTACTTGATAAGAATAATGTTTGTTCTAAAACCACTATCATCATCCTTGCAAATGCGCTCTACTTTAAAGGGGTTTGGGCTGAAAAGTTTGAAGAAAGATACACAAAAGATAGAGATTTCTACCTCATGAACGGATCATCTATCCAAGTACCTTTTATGAGTAGCGCTCAAAGGCAGTATGTCAAAGCATTCGATGATTTCAAAATCCTGAGTCTACCGTACAAGCAAGGTAAGGATATGAGGCGGCGATTCTCCATGTATTTCGTCTTGCCTAATGCAAAGAATGGTCTACCATCACTCATAGACATGATGGCTAAAGAATCCCAATTTCTTGAGCGCCACGCCCCGAGGATTCCGGTTGATGTGGGCGAGTTTCGCATACCGAAATTCAAAATAACTTTCGACTTTGATGCTGTACACGTTTTAGATGATCTCGGGGTGCAATTTTCCCGTGCTGGTCTAGGCGAAATGGTGGTAGACCCGAGGGAGAGCCCCTTTGTTTCAAGCATCATCCACAAGTGTGTTGTTGATGTCAATGAGAAGGGAACAGAAGCTGCTGCAGTTACTGTGGTAATGGGAGGTTTTGGATGTGGAATTTCTATGGTTGAGGAAGAGAAAATTGACTTTGTAGCTGACCATCCCTTTGCCTTCTTCATCCGGGAGGATGTCTCCGGGCTTGTTGTCTTTGTTGGCACTGTGGTTAATCCTTTACTTCCATGAAGTCCATGGCGGTTGATGTTTAATTTAGTTTCCGCAATTCGCTATTACACGCATGTTTAATTACTTTCAAGTGTTATAGAATATATTAGAGATTTGCAACTATATTTTGGTTTTCTTTTTCTATTGAATGTCGGAATAATTAAAGGATTTACACTTTTAATTAGTTTGATGTAAAGCTAGATTTGTTGTTGGTTGAGACATTTAGGATGTTTTCTTTTGTACTGTTTTCAGTCCCAGATTAGACCAGACCAGACTTAAACAGACCAGACTAGACCAGACCACACTTAAATAGACCAGCCTAGACCAGACCTGAATTTCTTAGTTATAAAATACACAGAGACCAGACGTTTACCAGACCAGTTCAGATCAGACCAAACCAGACTTAAACACAGACCAGACCAAACCAGACCAAACCACACCAGCAAATTTCAGTCCAAAAGAAAACATCCTTATATATCATTACGGTATTAATTCTGTTTCACCTAATTAGGAGTAGTTAACATACTAATTATCAGACATTTTGACTTTTGAGGCGAAGTGGATATTCGGTTGATGACCAGCGAAGATGATAATAACCTATGGCAATAGTCTCATCGTAGAGGTACTCCACGTTATTATTGAATGGTTCAAGGGAGTGCAATTTTGCTCACCCCTCCTTGGAGGGTGAACATCACCCCCCATATCTCAAATGTTGCCATTTGACATTTCATTTCTTTTTTTGTCACATGGCATGCAAATAGGGAGGGGGTATGTTCACTCTCCAATGAGGAGGTGAACAAAATTGCACTCGGTTCAAGGGGTCTTCTCAAGAGTCCCTAGTTAAAAAGTTTATGCGGCATTCTATTAAACTCCAGAGGTCTTCATGATTTATCTAAGAATTTTTATGGATGTTGGAATAAATCCGATAATACTTTAATCATCCGATAATACTTTAATCTTCATATTGGAATTATCTAGAGAATTAATTGAGCGGAAGCGTACCTGACTCCATAGGAGATATCTCTGGAGATCCGGGAGACGGAGGCTAGGGTTTGCGTCTTCTAGTTGATACACACCCTCGGGAATTATTTCTCTAGCGATGGGATGCAGAAAGACGGAATGACGTGTTCAACTAGGGACCATAACCCCTCTATTTATAGAGAATGCTTAACCCTAATAAGCCCATCATTAATTAGGTTAAGCCCATGGGTTTCTACACAATTGGGCCCTATACCTTATTAGATAACTTATTAGCCCACTTAAATTAATATACATAGTACCACTAATTTTTGGGCTAAATATAAGATAACATATAACATACAATTAACCCAATAAATAATATATTGTGAATATTATATGTAGTATAAGTCCAATAATCTAACAATCTCCCACTTGGACGACATACACATATGTATACACAATCCTTAGTATTGTATGTTTACTTTAGGAGCTCCGGAATTTTGCTATCAAACTGTAGTCATCTTTAATCAATCCGGTCCATTAATTATATCAACATAGGACCAAAGAAGTCTTTGCTATATTCACATAACTAGACCCATCAATGATCACATATATTAATATAATAAACGACATGGATCAAGTATAGGTGTGTAGCGTGGAAATAACATGAAGTGTGGTCTGGAATAGAATGTCTATTTCCAACTGATCCACCTTGAGATCAATAATGTAACTGTAAGAGTACATAAAACTTTAAACTTTAAACTTTATACTTTATTTCTGCAGAAAATATCCTTAAAACTGAATTAACCAAAATTATAGAAACATTACCAACTCCCACTAAAACTCATAATCTTCAACTGGTTTGACACCCATTTGACCAACATGCTCATGAAACACTTTGGGTGGCAATCCTTTAGTGAGCGGATCCGCAATCATGGAGTTTGTGCTAATGTGTTCTATAGATAACTTTCCTTCTTGTACTCGTTCCTTAACAGCCTTAAATTTGACCCCAATGTGTTTTGCCTTGGTCAAACTACTGTTGTTCTTAGCATAGAGGACTGCTGACCTATTGTCACACAATAGCTTAAGTGGTCTTTCAATGCTATCCACTATGCGCAGTCCACTAACAAAATCTCGCAGCCATAATGCCTGATTGGATGTCTCATAACATGCTATAAACTCTGCTTCCATGGTGGAAGTAGCTGTAAGAGTCTGCTTGATACTCCTCCAGGAGATAGCTCCTCCAGCTAAAATATAGATGTAGCCCGAAGTGGATTTCAAGGAATCCTGACATCCAGCAAAATCAGAGTCGGTATACCCAATGATCTCAAGCTGATCCGATCTCCGATATGTGAGCATATATTCCTTTGTTCTCTGTAAATACCGCATGACCCTTTTGGCTGCTTTCCAATATTCCTTTGATCTCAAGCTGATCCGATCTCCGATATGTGAGCATATAAAATATACTCCATGTATTTAGCTTTCCTTTCCTAGACTAGTAACCGGGCATTGTTCTAATATACTACGTATATAGGTCCCTGAATCTCCATTTTGTATTTTATCACAATATAAGAAAAAATGCTCAAAATAGGATTACTAAAAGTAAAAAAACTTCTAAAATATGAGAAAGTATATGTTTCTAGCTCTTAGTATATAGTCCTATATATAATCCTATTAGAAGAATAAAACAATAAAAACCTTCAAAAAACTAAGTACGAGTCAAAGATTCATTTTGAAAAGAAATTAAATTAGAGTTTTTTCCACTTTTAGTCCTCCGACTATTATGTCATTGACATTTTTGCTACTCGACTTTGATTTTATCCATTTTTAGTCCTTGACTATTGCGCTAGAGACACTTTTCCTACCCGTCTTTAAAAATTTTCATATTTAGTCCTTCAACTTTCATAAAAGTGTTACTTTTGGTCTTTGAACTATTACTCCCTCTGTCCCCTTAACTTTGTTCCGTTTTACCTTTTTTCATCTGTCTAATTAAGTTTGTCTCGTACCATATTTGGTAATATTTGAGTGGGTAGAATTCATTCTTACTTTATTCACACTTTATTTATTCAATACCAACCACACAATTCTACCTTTTCTTAAAAACCACACAGCACATCCCTTTGTTTCAAACTTAGGGGGATGGAGGTAGTATAATATTGACTTTTTTAGTCTACTTATTGCGTCAAAATCATAATGGGAGGACTAAAAGTGTCAATTCGACAATACTGAGGGACTAAAAGTGGGAAATCTTGAAGTCGGAAACTAAAAGTGTCTCTAGCACAATATTCAAGAACTAAAAAATGCAACAATTAGAAATCGAGTACCAAAAGTATCATTGACATAATAGTCGAAGGACCAAAAATGGCAAAAACTCTTAAAACTATGTCAGTGAAACTATAAATACACTAAAGATGATCTCGGGGTGGAATTTTCCCGTGCCGGTCTAGGCGAAATGGTGGTAGACCCGAGGGAGAGCCCCTTTGTTTCAAGCATCATCCACAAGTGTGTTGTTGATGTCAATGAGAAGGGAACAGAAGCTGCTGCAGTTACTGTGGTAATGGGAGGTTTTGGATGTGGAATTTCTATGGTTGAGGAAGAGAAAATAGACTTTGTAGCTGACCATCCCTTTGCCTTCTTCATCCGGGAGGATGTCTCCGGGCTTGTTGTCTTTGTTGGCACTGTGGTTAATCCTTTACTTCCATGAAGTCCATGGCGGTTGATGTTTAATTTAGTTTCCGCAATTGGCTATTACACGCATGTTTAATTACTTTTAAGTGTTGTAGAATATATTAGAGATTTGCAACTATATTTTTGTTTTGTTTTATATTGAATGTCGGAATAATTAAAGGATTTACACTTTTAATTAGTTTGATGCTTCAGTATAGCTAGATTTGTTGTCGGTTGATACATTTATATACCTTTACGGTATTAATTTTGTTTCACCTAATTAGGAGTAGTTAACATACTAATTGTCAGACATTTTGACTTTTGAGGCGAAGTGGATATTCGGTTGATGACCAGCGAAGATGACAATAACCTATGGCAATAGTCTCATTGTTGAGGTACTCCACGTTATTATTGAACGGTTCAAGGGGTCTTCTCAAGAGTCCCTAGTTAACAAGTTTATGCGGCATTCCATTAAACTCCAGAGGTCTTCATGATTTATCTAAGAATTTTTATGGATTCTTATAAATAGTGAAATATTATATGGAGTAAAATTTTGGGTTTTTTACTTGGATATTACTAATTATGAACCAATTACCCAAAAAGTGATCACTTTTAAAAAGGGGCAAAAAAGTGATCAAGAAGGTCATATATGTGCAATTAGAAAACATGATGTAACTGCAAAAAAATTTATGTCACTGCGTGTTCGTTTTTTTGTAACTACAACCACCACCCATGTCACTACAACCACCGTCCGTGTCACTGTAGCCACCGCCCGTGTCACTACAACCACCGTCCATGTCACTGTAGCCATCGCCCGTGTCATTGTAGCCACCGCACGTGTCACTGTAGCCACCGCCTGTGTCACTTTAGCCACCGCCCGTGTCACTGTAGCAACCGCCCGTGTCACTGTCGCATTTTCATGTCACTTCCGCCGCCATCGCTCGTGTCACTGTCGCCGGTCACCACCGCCGACCATAGTGACACCATCATAGTGAAACATCTAAAGTAACGCCTCCGCAGTGACACCGGCCACATTCGCCCTTTCTGAAACCCACTGCCGACCACCTCCGCTATTGCAGGCCACCACGGAGGTTGCCGCCGCCTGCCACCAGCACCGGCCAGCAGTGCCGCCCCTTTCATTTGACTCTACCGGCAACCCATCATAGTCCACCACCCCCCACGGCCCCTCACCACCACATCCACCGCCACCCCCCTTCCCCCACCACCACCGCGAACCGCCGTCGTTGACCATCAGCGCCGCCGGCCGCCGCCGACCACTGGCTTGACTCCGTAGCCCCCAATCACCTCCCTAACCCCCACCACCCCCGATCCCAGCTCCCCCATCTCATCTCCCCAGCCCCACATCCCCCCCAGCCCCCTCCTAGCAACGACGCACTCCGGCCAGTCCCATCCAAAGGAGAAAACAAAAAATCAAACCAAAAGCTTTGAATTAGGTGTCAAAAGATGCGCCTGCACAAGCCGACTACCAATCCCAGCTCAAAATTTGATTTATTCGTCCCAATCAAAAGAAATCTGGAGAACAAGCAATCTGCGATGAATAGTGTTTCACAGCAATGGCTCTTTTGCTTCTAG